TGTGGGAGATAAGTGTTTGTTGTGGGGGGGGGGGGGGGGGGGCGGCGGCGGAAAAAAGTACTTGCAGATGGAACTGGCAGAACGATTTGGTTTGTTGGTTTTGTCAATAAAGCCTTTAATGCTTTTTATATCTTGATTTATTAAACAAGGGAAAAATATTGAAGGGATTTATCTTAGGGTTATTTGTATTTGGCAAAGAATACAATAGCTAGTATGTTTATTCTCAAGGAACTGAATATGAAAATTTGGGTGGTTTATGCATACTGAACTTACTGAAATCTACCACAAACTCTCCCTAGTAGAATTAATTCAGCAATAAGAGTAAGCAATATATATCTGTATTAAAGACGCTGTCAAAGGTGAAAGGTCAAGTATTACCTTTGATACCCTTTCCTTTTCCAGTCACCATAATGACAGAATTATAAGAAGATGCATATGAAGTTACTGGGAGAAACAAGACAGAAATTCTTTATGGTTGTTTTTTCTGGTCCCTCCCCTTTTGCTGCTGTGCATTATACCTGCATAACATACCTTATTTTAATTTTTATTCTCATACGATCATCAGAGTTTCACATATCTGGTCAAAAAATCTGAATACTCTATCTCTTATTCAGAAAATCCTGTTAAGTTAAAAAAGGGAATTCAAAAAGAGTGAACAATGGTGGATTGACAGTCAGGAATTTAAGACAACAGACAATAACGCAGTGTTTGTATTTTCAGTGGCCAACTATAGTTTAAGAACAAAAGTTCCTGAGCCACAGGACAGTTAGTCTGTTAAAAGCCTAGACAGGAGGGACTACAACAGAAGATTTTAGAATTACCTAAATTACAGTATTTCTCTTACTTAATAGCTAAATGTTAAAGGAAACAGATAGGGGAATGGATCATGCAGCTGGTTCTCTAAAGGTAAAGTAAGGTCATTGACTGAAAAGCTGCAGAAACAAAACTTGTGATTGTAGCAAGTGTCCTGATTTAGTATATAACACGGCCACAGAAGACAGTTTTGTTTTTAAAAAGTACACAGTCTGAACATGACTGGATCTTTCAGTGTATGGGAAATTACAGAGAAGGTCCAAGCACCACATATTTTAACTTGTCTAGACAGCTCGCTCAAAGGACTCCTGTTTTACAGCCGGAAAGGGCATTTGTTTCTTTAATCACCCTGCAAAGTATGAGGCTTGTAATCAATGATTCTCTTGCTATATGGAGACAAAGCAAGGGGAAAAACTAAATATGAAACTAATATATCCTATGTCTATACAGTGACTAAAGCAGTTCTCCATAATTACAACCTGTTCTAGAATCCATGACTCGGTGCTGCCTGCTTTAATCAAAACTCCTTTGATCTAACATCATCAGGATCTAAAGAAAGGCAAAACATGTGTGCACTCAAGCGCACTCCTGTTCAGCTCAACACCGTGTTCCTGTTTTCTGCCAACCTGAACAAGATGAAGGCATACTTAACCTCGGGCGTGATATTTAGGTCTCACTGAAATCTACTTATATGGCAAAGCGTCTGGAAGAGGAACCGTTTCCTAGGACAGTTCTGTACAGTGCGTAGGGGAACAGAGCTCTGATTCTGAGATCTTTCAGGGCTGCCCACAACACCCATACATAAAAATCACTGTCATGAGACAATTAGAAAAATGAATATTTGAATAAAGACTTTGGCCATCTAGAGGCAATAATGCTGGATGCTCATTCCAACATTGTGATGATGCGGGTAAGACAGACATTCTTGTTTTCCCCTTTGTGTTTGTTCTTCTCTAGCCAGTGTCCAGATAAGAAATAGTTGATGCCCTAAAACATCTCTATCGGCAAATGTGAGAAGGTTGGTGAAGGCTGTGATTGCTCATTGTGAAACAAGAAGGTGGCTCATGGGGGGACACTCTGGAGACGCATACTTGAATCTATATTTGGCAGAAGCCTGAGCTTCCTTACTTCAGTATTTAATGAGAGATTCGGTGAAGCTGTGAAGTTGTCTACTGCATAAAATTTACTCCATGTAACAGATAATACTGTGCCCCAAAAGAAGTCCTAGATTTACAATAACCTTTCCCTAAAGCTGCCTTGTCTTCCCTACATGGGCAGAATTACGGTTGTGATGTGCAGTTACAGCAAACATCTACTCTCTTAAAATGTCTTTGGTGGCAGAGGTAACAGTTATGCACTGTTCACAGCTCTGCTCTTTGTTTCCCTGATTTTCAGACTTCTTAGGTATGTAGTCATCTTAAATGATGGACAATGTAGCATCTTTGTGCACAGATTTGTAAATTATTCTTTGATCACAGAATGATCTGTGGATGCTCTGTGCAAGCATCCAAAAGGCTCAGACGGGTGACTTTTTCAGTGGACAAGGAAAGAGGAACAGGATACAAGACAGTAAGTGAGGGGAAAGGAAGAACCAGAGGTTAGAGAGCTCTGGTGGGATGTGCAACTTTTTTTGGAGTGCCCGTTGAGGCCAGCAGTGAAGCTCAGGGCTTGGAGCAGAGAGAGGGAAAAGTGAGAGAGAGCCACTGAAAGACATGCAGGATTGGACACGGAGACAGAAGAGGTGCTTGGGGCATGGTATTGACTTAAGCATCAGAGAACCTCAAACTTGAGTTTTTGCCAACACAGTTGACTAGCAGCCAACTGGGTAAAACGCTGCCTTTACAGGAACCCCAGAGAGCTCCACAGGGAGCTAGGGAGCGTTCCGAGAGCCTCCTGTTCAGAGAGCCTGGTGCAGCCAAATTGCTGAGCCTGGGGCCAGGTGGCAGTGGAATGTCACCGCTACAACACAAGTTTGTCTACACCTTGGAAGAAGACACAGTCTCCACAGCTGTTCAGTTTACTTTGGCCAATGGCCATAAAACCTCCATACCACAACTGAACCACATGGGGTTCTTAAATGTTTTATGTTGTTGTTGTTTCTGACTTTTCAAAAAAGCAAGTCAAACTCGTACAAAAACAGTCTGGAGATATGGAAAATCTGCTCCCCAGGTACAGAGAGGCGTCTGAATCCAGCAAAATTTCCTCAGGTTCTTTCTCTGATGGTATAAACAGTTACTCTCACTCACTTAACCAGAAGTAAATTCACAGAGGCACCTAGTGTAAAGAACAGTAGCTCCTGCAGCTGGAAGCCACATCCTTTCTCAGTACCTGGAATGTCACACGTTCCTTTTGTTTCTGCTGCTTTTGTTTCCTCTTGCCTTTTTGCATGAAGCTGACACCACTACAGATATTAACACTGATGCTATCAGTGCTCCCTTTAAATGATTTGTTTTCAACTCTAGAATTGTTTTTGTTAAAATGACAGAATGGAGAAACTAATCATCTAGAAAATGAGTGCTGCTGCTTCAGAAGACTAGAAGTACCCTTGCTTCGCCAAGTTATTAAAATACTTTTCCAAGTGCTGAATATAAAGTCTGATCTGTATTCCATACACACCACCAATTACTTCTGAAGCATGCTCAACTGGTTTTGTACTTGTTGTTTTATTCGTCATTAAAAAGTTCCAAAACTACTCACAATCCTGGAAATAAAAGCTTGTGATTTCATCCTTTTCTATTTAGTAAAAGTTTGGCTTTTTTGTTCTAATGGAGATTAGCTTTGTACTACTTCATCATATGTAATGGTAACCCTTCCCTGGGAACTGTGCTATATTAACTGTCAGAGATCCAGAGGGGCTTATTGTTTCTGGTACATCCCCTAAAATTAGATGCCACCAACTTTCTTTTTTTCCCCAAGTTTTCTTTCTATTCAGTTCTGCCTTTTTTAATTTCTGAGAGTTTGATTTCACAAGGTCAATAACTGTTTTTCTAACTTTGGTTTGAAATAAAGTGTTTGGTTTCTATACCAAGAGTAGGCTGCATTCTTCTCTGACCACTTTTTTTTTTTTTAGCTATGCTCAACAGTGAGGCAAAACACCTGCTACTACTTTTCTTGCAGAGAAATTGAAGATATTTAACCATCTCCTTCCTAAACACTGGGTGAAATGTATACATGCTGCCAAAAGAGTCCATGAACATGCTTTGGAATTATCCCCATTACTTGAAATCACAAAATACTGCCTTGTATCCATCAATCACTGGAGTTACTCAGATTTGCTCTCTCTAGCCTACTTGACCAGGCTTTTGTCTTGGCAGTAAGAGAATGTTTCTTTCAACTTATGCCATGATTACAAAGTAAATTTAGAGAGGAAACAGCACCAAAAATACTGCAGAATTTTTTAAGTTATCAATAATAATTAAAGAACAAATAGTGTGTTTGAGGCCATGCTATATCTGAACATACAGCACTTATTCCCTTAGATCAGCATAACAGTATTCTTACCAACAGTGTATTTCATTTCATTACATATTATATTATTAACTATATGGCAGGTTATATGTCTGCTCAAATAATAATGCTGTAATGCAACAGTCAGACAGAAGTTTTAATACACCTCTGCTGAAGGAAGAACCTTTTCACTATCCCTAAGTGAACTATGAGAAGAGCTGGCCCATGAAAATCAATCGTGTATGGATTTACTGGCCTATAACTTGGGATAGAGAACAGTTTGCCTGCTTCTTGGATGCTCGAGATCCACGACCCATAGGTTTTAACACCGAGCTATCGTCTGCCCAGTGCTTCTCCTCTGCACACATCCTGCCGAACTGCTACCATATAGTTTTTTCTCCCCTACCAAATTACTACTTTTCCCACAAGGCTTCTTGTCTGTTCTTGAACAGTCATCCATAAGACCAGCCATTCTTCCTCCAGTTAGGGGAATTTTTGTTTTCTGTCAGCATCACTGACTACACAAAGCCACATATCTTCTTGGTATCATTAAGCACAAGTCTCCTATTTTAAATTTCTCCTGCTAGTGCGTGTGTTCCATTAGCAACAGGATACAGTCTCATGCTACAACAAAATAAAAAACCTAGATACACCTAAATTCTAGGCTCCTGATTGATGTTTCTCACCAGTGCTATTACTGGAGCAGCTTTTACAACCTTATATGAAAGATACCTGTATAATCATACCCGCGTACACTTATTAAGAGTAAGCTGGCTTTAGCACTGTAAAGATCTAATTACTGCTATTTACTCCATTTCTGCCCTTTCAAAATGACTGAGGTTCTATCATAGATAGCATTTTACTACAGTTTCTCACCAGAGTTACTTCTGTTGCATGGATGCTTCACCTGCATCTTTTGAAAAAACAGTCTTGACAAGCAAGGTTCTGTTGTCTCACACAGAGCGATGAGAACATTCAGGCAGCTCAGGCTTGCTGCTAATGCACTTAAGAATATTTAAACTAAATAATCCTAAAAATTTATGGCAGAAGGGCTACCCACTTGAAACTTATCAGAAGCCTAAGTTCCAAACTCACTTTACATGCATTTTAGATACATTTACTCCTTCTGTCCTTGCTACAAGATAGAAATAACTACCCATCAATGAATAGATTTCATATTATTACAGAAGTCCCCTGGTTTCATATATCTTCACATAAGAATATCATACCCTCCTTTGCCATCATTTGACAGTTAGGTTAGCATTCCTTCTTTTTCATTAACTTGTTTCGTTCAAAACAATACAATCCAATTTTAAGATAGCAAAATTATTAAAAATCAAGAAAAGAAAGACACAGCTTCTAACAAACATTAACTCTATTACATCGCCCATTTTGTAAATTCCTGTTATACTTCTTATAATTCAAAAGCAACATAGCAGCTGTGCGTTTATAAGAAAAAGAACAAAGGGCCCTTAAGTGGCAGACTGCAGAGTTAATGGTGGTTTCGGGGTATTATGGTTGGACTGGATGATCTTCAAGGTCTTTTCCAACCTAAATGATTCTATGATTAGACCCAAACTGACTACTTTTCTCACCCAACTAATAACAGCAAAGCAGTGGGAATGCGTTATTGTGACTTGTCTCACCTTCACATGTTCGGCCATCTGCAGACACAGAAAAGCCCCGCTCACATATGCACTGGTAGGAACCATCCGTGTTTAGACACTCGCCATGAGGTGAACAGAGGTCAGATCTCTCACATTCATTGATATCTGAAAACAAAGGGACACTAACAGCTTTGCAAATCACCATACCCTTAATATTAAGCCTAAGTTCAATTAGCCTTAGAAGTAGCTTTTATTTCCACCACAAAACTTACACAAGGCTCATTCACCCATCATCACAGATACTAGAATTTCTTCTTCTTAACCATGTCTTCCACTGCTTAGATTCTGGCCGTTGTTACAGCCACACAAAATGCATCGAAGTAGACAATAATTTTAATAGACCAGAGAAATTATGATTTCAGTACCATTATTTCAAGACCCACGACACCCATTATAGAATTTTCTTTAGATAGAGACTAATTCTATGCTGTGTGTAAACCTTCTAGGCCAGTGTCCTGAAGTCGTGGCATGTATGTGGAAAGAACAGAGGCAGCTTGGGGAACGTTAGTATCTGTATGAGGCGCACAGGGAAAAGTCACTGCTCTGGGCTTCGCACAACACCTACATGTGCCAAGTTGTCTCTGAATTCATAGTAAATGCAGACCAATGACACGCTTCCTGAAGCTCTCTGGAAGTCAGGTAAGGTGGGAGATCAGTAAAGACAAGGACAGTAGGTACCTTCTCAGGACCCACACTGTTCTCAAGACTAAGCTGTCAGTTTCTTAAAACTGCCAGAAAAACACTGGAAACCAGAACAGCTGATTACACAAGGTAGAATGATGTATTAAAAGGCAGGAAAACAAAATTAACAATCTTCGGGAAATAAGAGTATAATTCATCTGAAAGAGCAAACTGCACACTTTCTAATGTTTTGGACTCCTTTCAACTTCGCTACTTACCAAAATGCATGTTCCTAATTTCTAGTCCAGGCCAGATTCAACTTGCAGACACCACGTTCTGTGATAAATTTGCCAGTTTAATTCAATAGCTCTCTACTTTCAACTATAGTTTCCTCTGAAGGTAATAAAGGCTATGATCAACTCACCCCTCTTTTTTTTTTTTTTTTTTCCAAACAAAATAAATAGTTTAGAAGCATTCAATCCTTTTTCCCCCAGGCCATCAGCTTTTTTGGGTTTATCTCTGAACTCTCCTCAGCTGATCAGCATCCATTTTGAATTGTGGGCACCAGAATGTCAGTGTACAACAATGTGCCAATACCAGTTGTATCAGCGCAAAATAGAGGTAAACAAACTTTGCTTACTCCTGCTGGATATTGCGCTTTTTCAATCTTCCTGGGAGTGCATTAGTCCTACTGGCCACAGGGCTGCACTGGAAGCTCATATTCAGCTGACTGTCTCTGACCCCTAAATTCTTCTCAGTGACTGTGTCCCAGAAGGAACTCCACGATCCTACAAGCATGACTGAGATTCCTTCTTCAATATATAACTGGATGTATTGAAATGCGTATTGGTTGCTCATGCCCATATACCACGTGATCAAGATCACTCTGCGCTAGTGGCCTATTATCTCGATCTTTTACCATGCCCCTAATCTCTCCAGGTAAATTCTCTCAAAAATGTTATGGCTTTTTTTGCTACTACAGAACTCTGATAAAACTAACTTTCAGTCATTTAAAAAGGTCTCAGTTTATCTGCTGCTTAAAATATTTTGAAGGTACTGTTGAAATGTAAAGAAGTCATCATTTATGATAGAAGCATGGCTAGTTTTGTCCAGTACAAAATACAGGACAAGAAAATATACTGGAGATTTCTATCTCTGACAATTAAAAATTCTACTATAGCATCCTGTAACAGCTTAACAACAAGTAGTCATCACAGTAAAAAAAGTCTAACCATACTAAGTATTCTTAGTATTCTTATTCTGCTAGCCAAAGATCTCCCTTTATGTTCTTTTGCTGTGTCCAGTTCTTTGCTATTCTAACTTGTCAGTATTCATTGTATCAACTCCTCCATTTTATCATTTGGTCTGATATTGATCTGGCTATTTCTCAAGCAGTTTTAACTCCCCGCTACAGCAAGTTGTTATTTTTCAGTGTTGGTGGTCTTCCTTCTCAAGTGTGGTGCTTTTACCTGGAATGATTTCCAATTTTCATTCACATTTTTTTGTTAAAAATACTCTCTATGCTGTCTGTCCCTTAGTTGGCTTTCAGCTTTGTTATATTTATCCATTTAAAACATGAAGCCTATATACTACTACTTTATATAGTGGAGGGAAGAGAATAGAGTGGTATCAAAGCTGGCATTTATTTATAGCTTGTGATCAATTCTCTTTTATCTGCTAAAGCAAGGTCTAATACAGTACTTCCCTATGGTGAATGCAACATTTGCTGAATTAGAAAGCAGTCACATATAATACTCAGAACTTCTACAGGGAATTTACTGTTGGTTGCACAAGATCTTCAACACAGATCAGCTGGAATACAGTCTCTCAGCTCGAGTCTAAACTGTGCATGAGAAAGCAGCCAAATCAAAGTCCAGTCTCCTGGTTCTCCAGTCATTTGGAGCACGAACATGCCACCACTTTCCAGCTCTAATACCATGATTCTTGTCTCATAAAAATGGATGGCAAAAGGGAGTTGTGAGGCATGCCTGGGTGTTGTGCCAACATAGAGTTGGGATCGTTCAGAACTAAAAGCTGGGAAGTATTTTTCTGGGTTTGGCAATGCTGACTCAGTCTCAGATAACACGTTCTCTTCCTCCTCACCCACCCTCCACGAAGCACTGCAAGTGTTTTAGAGGAGAGGTTTATCTAATGTGACTTGACACTAACGAAACTGCCCTTTCTGTTACAGCACTAATTCACAACCATAGAAGGTTCTGTCAAAATAAATGTTCCCAGGATTTGGGAAAATGCAGCACTGTATCTCTGTTAGTTCTAATATAGAATCTCTTTCAAGTTACGAAGGCTGAGATTTCAGCCTCTTGAAATAATTTCTCAGCATATATTTAGAGAAAGTAATATAAAATGAGAAGAGTAAGAAAGTACTGCAAATGATAAATGAGTTCCTCTTCCTTAGCATGATCTGTGACTATCACAAGTTATGTTTACAAAATTGCACATTTATAATAATGATCCAGATATTTTTTGTAGCTATTTCATACCTTGACATCCCCTATTCGCTATCTGCTGGAAACCGTCTGGACAAGTGCATTTGTAAGACCCATCAGTATTCATGCAGTGTCCTCCACGACAAATATCACGGTCTTTAAGGCATTCATCAACATCTGAAATAAAAATGTAACAATTATTAGATGATGTAAAAACTGATTAAACTTTTAATAGTGATACTTTGATACTAATGTAGTAACTTGAAGCTGCAATGTAATTTAATAACTCTGTGTGTGTGGGGGAGGAAATCAAGTTTACTACGCTTTAGAATGTCCTTTAATTTCTTTCATCTTATCATCAAGCTTCTTGTATTTCTAGAGAGCTTTAGAATTTGAGTTTGTGTCATTTATTCTTAGCAAGCATGTCTAATATGTGCCGTCTGCATCCCTAATGAAAGGTATCATAACAGACCTTTATACCAATCTCTCCCCTACTTTAATGGTGACTGTGGTGTTACAGTAGTACAATTAACAAGAAAATCCAAGCAGCTGTACATTTAGAAGACAGACACAAAAAATGCCTACTAATGCAAATTTTTAGTTTGCAATATGCATCTTTGGACATGTTTAGACCACTACACAGAGATCCCTGAGCCGGAATTGACCCGACTCAGACGTCCCCCAGAGCATGGGCAAGCCCAAGCACAGCTGATGTGCCACACCAGACAAGATGTTGTCTGCGGAGACTACTCACAAAACAACCACGTGGACAGGAGGCTTGTAGGACAGGGACCACACTGCGTGTACTGCTGTGCCAACGGTTGCTTTTTCAGAGGCAGTTCATGTGATGCAATACAGCCATTTCGCAGGCTCAGCAGCTTGGTCATGAAGCTGAATAGCTGCTTTTGCACGGTGCTGCGCCCGAGCCATAAACCCAGGCTCTAGCCCCCAGCTGCCTGTACTCCACGTTGCCAGCACCAAGCCTCAGGCCTGTAGACTCTGCCCTAGTGTCTTGACACCCGTGGGATAAACGTGCTGACTGACGCATAGCAGGGCAAGTTTCAGGATACAAACTGGATACAAAGTAATCAAATATTTCAAGAACAGGACACTGGCACTGTCTCCACCTAAAGTCTTTTCTTCCCCAGAGGAAACAGAGCACAGCGGCTGCGGGTACAGGACTAACTCAGCAAGTGCCTACATTCCAGCAATATTACACAGTTTTGTTTCACTACAGCTAAAGATCACAAAGTGTTTCATGACTGTGCCTCTAGTTCTAAAAGAAAACAAAGAATAAGGGTCAAGTAAAAGAAGCATCTTGTAAGCACCTTTCCCTTGCCTCCACATTGCCCTACCTTGTAATTCACTGAGTCTATTGCTCTGACAGTGCAGATAGTTTCCTTTGAAAAACAGTTATCAAAGAGTTTTCCCACTGCCTTTGATTATTCTGACTTCTGAAGCATGGATTTTAGCTGATTAGAATTGCTTCTTTTTCCTGTGTTGCAGGAATAAATAACAATCGTAATTAAAAAAGAGGATATGACCTCATTTCTATAGTTATCTCTGCAAAGCCCACACTATATCAGACTGCAGCTATCCTTGGGATTTAATCTATTGGATAAAAATAATAAATAGCGATAGCTTTCTTACGTAAATGAATGTTATTGCAGATAAAACTGCACTTAATGCTGACAAAGTTGTGACCTTTTGATAACCACTTTTTATAATCATTTTCAACTGAGAAATAAATTGTGGTTTATTTAAAACAGCAATTAATTTTGACTAGGAGCATGAGAAAAAATTAACGACTCCCTTGCGCTGAGTTAATGCCAAGTTGCACAACAAGAAGGCGTCTTCGGCCAAATGCAGTCAAAATGCATTATTTTCCCATATAGAATGCAAACCTCCCTTTCTCCAATGCAACTCTTCATAGGTCTCATGGTTGCTGCACAAGAATCTCCAGAAAAATCGGAGACAGTAACTCATGCTTGAGATGTTCAGTGCTTTTTGCCATCCTTTACAGGTGCACGTCTAGAGCATTTTGGCTAGCAAAATCTCTGAAGGCTCCTAGGAGAACACTGGAGCCTCCTACGCCTCAGACAGACTCTTTTCTAGTAACCCGAGTTCTTTGAGATGTACAGTCTATATATAAGTCCAGCTGGTGCATATTCATACTTCCTGTCAGCTGAGACAAGGCCAGTACTTTTTACCCACAGGTGTACTCACACTTTGCATTCCCTCATATTCAGAGCAACATAGAGCAGAAAGTCTCAATGTCACTTCATCTCGAGAACAGGAGATGCTGAATGAGAGAGTAAGGCAGAAAGAAAATAAACGTGCATCTTGAAGACTTCTGACTACTAGGAAGTAACCTCTTTTTCTGTCTTCAGGTGGAAGGTTGTGCACACAAGCCCACCTGTGGATGGTCACATACTTCCAGGCTACTAATTTTCAAGCAGATAATAGCAAGTCTCAGGTACTGCAGAAGGGAAAAGTTCTTCAGCCTTAGAGAACAGGGTATACAGCCATTTACAATATGAATGGACATACAGATTGTTGCTCTCAGACAGAACTGAAGGTATGAAGGCCTCAGTCCAGCTTTCTCATTTTCCAAAGAGTTCAGTGCAAGGATGCATACAGAGTATGTATACTGCATGTATACACCAATGTATAGGACAATTATTTGCAAATTACCTTTATTCTTAAACAAGTGAAAGGCTGTGCAAAGACTTCCAGACAAAAACTTCTGCCAGAGTTGCAAAAAGCACAGCTGAAAATGAGCACAGCATAATTCTGCCAAATTCTGCAATATCTCTACAAGTTTGCACAAGTGTATAATGATCAAACAAGCAAACTGCTTCTTGAGCTGCTACATTAAGAAAACTACTGAAGTAGAAGAAATCCTTATTAAACAAACAAGCACACTGTGATTTGCCAACGACATTGGCTTTACAGCCTGATACATTTTTGGATATCCTCTGACGTGACAAGTGTCCATCCCTGAGTCTTTGAGAAACTGGACAGAATTTGAACCACTCTCTTCTTTTCACACAACTGTGCTGTGTCATACCCACAGTTTTTGTCATCTCTTTCCTGCTTTCTCCGTAAAGCGTTAGAAAACATTCAGGTAAATAGGCTAAACAGAAAATCAGAGGCCATCATGTGGAGAAACGTTGGATGTCTTCTCAAGGCAATTTTGTCTTCATGGAAGCTCTGCCCTCTAGTCCATGCACACGTCTGGCTGAACTAACAGTCAGGAGGAAAGCCATTTTCATGAAGATGGGAACATGGCTGTGAGGCTGAGGACCTCAACTGACATGAAAAGAATGTGAGATTTAAACCTGTAGTCAACCGAGTTTCCTAAATGCGCACTGAGTAATTCAGGGAGCCTTCAAAAATGATTACATCACAAGATAAGGAAAAACAAGAGGGGAATGTATAGCAGATAAAGCAGTCGCACAAAGTATTCTTACTGACAGCAAAACAAGCACAGTCTGTTCAAACTTAGCTTCCAAGGTGCAAAAAGCAGTCTGTAATATCCTGTACTTCAAAAAATATTGAAGGGATGTAATGCAAGCACAAAAGAATTTCCTCCGCTTCAAGAGATTAATAGATTTGGTGCAGAACTGTTAATATTTATTGAAGTCTTCATAAATGGATCAGTCTTCATAAATGGACCAGTGATCCCTTCCACCACATTTTTCTTTGATTCTTGACACAGTACCTCCATATCTCTGCATCTGTTGCAACTCAAGAAGATCTTGAAGCCAGGTGAGAGCAAAATTCTTTGACACAAGTTTCCAGTGCCTTGCATCATCAGCCCACATTTCTTGAAGCTGATGCAAGTGATGCACCAGGAACTCTGAGAAGATCATGCTAAGTTATTCTGTGACCAGATTCCCCAAACAGACCAGTACTAAAGAGTATCAGTGTGCTGGGGAGATTTTATAAGATAACCTTATTCCTTGTTGGTGACAGCTTCAAGAGATGCTGTCACTCATTAAATGTGGACAATCCAGTATCATCATTGCTGATGAAGTCTGGTCCGATATAACAGGTTTGTCTTGAGAAGAAAGCATTTGGTTGGGTTAGCAGGAACTGCTCCTCTGCCTGGGTCACTTGAAGAGGAGGATTCCTGACCTATTGCTGTGGGTGAGAAGGTGGAAACTGCCTCCTAGAGTGCTGTGTGGAGGACAACCTAGCAGCAGAACACTACTAGGTAGAACAGCAGTAAGGAGCTGTGTCTTCCATGGTATTAGCAGCTACAGAAAGCACACCAGAGACTGGAAAGTTTTTATGTGCTAATACCACCTGTATCGTGAGACCCTAACTGAGAGTTTTTTCCCGCCTAGGGCAAGATAAGGAAGCAACAGAGGTACAACCTTTTTGGAGCTCGCTAGTAGGTAATCTCACATACTCAAGGTGACCATGAGTAGCACAGGAGATGTGCCACATCAGGTGGTATAGCCAACCACGGAGAAGAGGGAGTAGCTTTGAAATAATTTATTAGAAAAAATCCGTTTGCCAGTTACTGGACAATTAAACTGTTCTACTTGAGAGATAATAGAATGTTTCCGTTTTCTGTAACACAGCATTTCTCCCTACATTTACTGCACATCTTTCACCTCTTATTTTTGTTTTTACAAGCTCAGTATGTAGATTGCCTTCTGAGACAGTGAAAGCTGTGAGATCCCCCTGGAGCTCATCTTATACTACATATTTTCTCCTGCCACGTGGGATTGTGGTGGCTGGCTACAGGTTCCCAAAACCAGCTGGAGAAGTAGTTTTAACTTAGCAGGCCCCCATGTGAACAGTGTATGCTGGCAGAAGCTTTTGTAATACAGAACCTCTGTGTCAGAATTTGAGCAACAAGGTTTGGAAAGGATTAATTGTTTTGGTAACAATGTCAACTGCTCTTCCAATCTTACTGCTGCAAACAAATGTGCTGATTTCTTGTATGTGGAAAGATGACAGGGACTATTTCTAAGAATCCATTAAATATGTAGCTGTGTAGGTGGGGACTGTTGAACGGTTGACAGTAAAGTATTGAGAAAGAAAGAGGAGCAACATATCCTTCTGCTCCTTTCTCAAAAGAGTTCATGCCTAAAGCTGAAATACTCAAGATCTTACTGAAAAAAATGAATCAGTATCTTAAGTCCAGAAGCTTACCTTCACACTGATCTCCAGTAGATGACAATGTGTAGCCTTGGCTACAAATACATCTGAAAGATCCTTCTGTGTTCCTGCAGCGTCCATGCGTACAGAGCGATAGGTGCTGGCATTCGTCTATATCTGTAGCAGAAGAGACAGTGGAAACATAACACATGTAGTATGTGCTATGTAGTCTGACCTCTTGAGTAATGGTCCCTCATGACCACAGAAGTTTTGAATTTAAGGATCACTGAAATCTGTGGGGCTGCATGAAGCATCTGGGCACGTGTACAGCTCCTTGCTTTAGAAGGGTGTACTTTAAGAACATGAAAATACCAATTACTAATCAAATGGTGCAATAACCAGTTCTGAACAAAACAGCAAAGCAGAGTGTCAATATCCAGTACTGCTTCTCTTGGTCTTATTTATTAACAAATGCAGACAGTCAACATAATGCATAAAAATATACAAAACTGCAGATTGGATGTTTCCCTTGAGATGACTGCATTCAGCAGTCTCTCCTGTAGTGTCATTATATCCCTCAATGCACAAACAGGTACGCGCAGACACACAGACACACACATGCTGCTTGAGAGCTGCTTTTGTTTCTTTTATATCTGGCAAAGGTAACAAGCCAGCCACTCCAGTGAGTCAGCAAAACCCACAAAATACTTTCCAGCAGGATCACCACCTTTTAACAGGGTGTGGTTTTCAGATGCACACTGACAGGCTGTTCCCCTATTAAGTTGTATCTTAAGGCTCCTTTAAATACTTGCCTTGTAACAGTATTAATCCTCTAAGTATGGGGAAATGTCTCTTTGCTTCCACAACCACTGCTAATCCCTCAGCACTTCAGTTCTCATAAACTGGGGTCAGTCTGGGTTAACGGATGGACTTGAACATCAAACTTAAATTTTCCTACAAAAAACTCAAAATACTGGAGGGGAGCGGCACTTTGAATTCAGAACATAGCACATGTCTTGTTTGAGCTAGAAAACCTGTTTTCCCTCCCTTATTTATAAAATACTTGTTAGGGAACAGTAATTAAATTGATATGGTAGGTTCTTAGTCACTTCTAGGATTTAGGCACGGTGGAATGTCTTTCTGAAAACATACTCCAATTCAAACAGGAGAAAGTTACTCAATGAGGTTTTTCAGGTCTGTGTTATGGCTATGTAGTCTGACCTCTTGAGTAATGGTCCCTCGTGACCACAGAAGTTTTGAATTTAAGGATCACTGAAATCTGTGGGGCTGCATGAAGCATCTGGGCACGTGTACAGCTCCTTGCTTTAGAAGGGTGTACTTTAAGAAGAACAGTCTGCACATGCCAGCTCAGCTTGGCAAGGACCCTTTTCCATGAAAGGCTCAGCGGAAGCAGTCAAAATTTGTCTACATACTTTCCCCAAGACCAGTCTGCTGTGTGTCCTGGACAGCACATTTAACTCACTCAAGACACTTAACTTACACTGATGTTTTGTTTCAAACTTTCTGACAAATTTACACAAACGATCACTTAGTTTTACTGTATTATTTGTAGCGCTCAGAAGTCTGAAAGTGTTTGGTGCTATATACAGACACTTAGGGAAGGGTGGGGGGAAGGGAAAAGAAAAAACAACATCTGACAAGAAACCTACAGGTTTCTGCGTGCTTCCATAGCTTGGAGACATTCTCCCAGATTTTCACCTTTGGGGAGAGGTTTGAAGAAGTCCCCTCTCCCTAAGGAGAGGGATATCTGTATATCCTGTACACACTCTAGGTTCTCTCTTGGACTACTCCACTCTGACTTCAGACCTAATTTTGTTCCACTGGAGCAGTCCTGCTGGGAATTTTAGATGTGGAAGAAATATAGAACCTGACACTTTGGAGCTACATGTACTGTTCTTCGAAAACCAACACTGAACTCTCTCTCTGCTAAATGTACTACTTGAAATGCAGTGACACCAATGCAGGCACCAGCTCAGTGTTAACTGACACTGCTGTTTTCCAAGATGGTGCAGCCTGGGTTTTTTGATTCCACTCACCCACATGAAAGAAAAAAAAAAAAGGCAGAAAGAAAAGCAATTAAGGCAGCAAAAGCCACTGTCCCCAAACCTCAAAAATGACAGAAATGCCAAGGATTCTGCAGAAATTCCAACTTAGCAATATAATTATTACTACTACTAAAGTTCTCGATCAGCTTTATAACAAATGTCAAAATCTACAATGTGACCATGGAAGCCATAAAATGGAAATAAATATTCTTACATTTCTGGTTATTTAGCTTCAGTGTTGTACATTTGTTGTTTCTCCATTAAAAGGAATACTATCACATGAAAAATACTACCTAAAAGGTAAGTGCAACCTTATGGATTTTAACCATATTTTTTCCTACCTTCACACTGATCCTCTGATGCAGAGAGTTTGAAACCTTGGCCACAAACACATCTGAAAGACCCCTCCATATTTTCACAACGTCCATTTGTACAGAGATTGCCATACTGACATTCATCTATATCTGTGAATACAAAGAAAGCATAAGTGTATAATTAACTTGGGTACTGTCCTGGTTTTGGCTGGGATAGAGTTAATTTTC